AATCAATCAATCAATCAATCAATCAACCACCCAACCACACCCCCCCACACACCCCAAACCCTGTTTCTATTTTTTTTCTGTTTTTGCTCAGAATGGCCCCAATTTTTTTTGGGGGGGTCCCCTGGCAGTGCGCACACCCCTCCACTTTTTTTTTTTTTTTTTTTTGCTTTCCATATGGCAAAAAAATCGTTGTTCGATTTTTCGGACAACTCCCGTTCGACCATCTCCCTGAGACGTCCAGGGGAGACGTCTCCCAATCGGACGACTAGTAACGTAGGTTGTAGGTTTAAAAAAAAAACACTACCTCCGTATATTTTTTGTTTTTTTTTAATGTTTTTTGTGATTTAAAAAGAATAATAATAAATAATAAAAATAAAGTATTAAAATCAAAAGAAACATAATAAAAAAAAGGGAACTTTTTTTATCATTTTTTTCGGATTGCTGGTGGGATAATCATGGTGCACATGATTCTTTGATTTTTTTTKTTCCCTATATACGCAAAMAWAAAAMRAAAAAAAAAAAAAAAAAAAAGATATAAAAAAAAAAACGAAGCCGTTTTCTTTTTTTTTTTCTTTGTTTTTTTCATTTTTGAAAGATACACAAACTTATTGGTTGATTATTTTATTGATTGATTGACTATGATTGGTTGATTGATTGATTGATCGATTTTTTTTTTTTTTTTTAAATCCCTTGCAACAACAGATAGGAGTGATGATAAGAGCATGCACTCCTATCTATCTTGATGGGGGCTCCAGTATATTGGTGGGGAGTATCACCTGCTGGAAAGCGGGTCCAGCATCCCTTGAGATACAATTATAAGATGATACAACAACACATGCTGGGAACCACGCCCAATGTCCCTTTTGAAGTCTTCTGATTCGTTGATCCAGTCAATTCCTAGGAGAAAATTTGGGTAGGGGGACTGCGTGTGCCTCTTCACCTTGTGTCGGCGCCAGAATGGCATGTCACCCTAGGACTAGCACAAGTCCCTCCTCTTTCATTTGGGTTGGTCAGGTTAATATCTAACATTCCTACCCTCATTCAATCATAACCATACCAAGAGCTGGGGACTAAACAAGGATGGTTTGGAGGAAAGAAATCCAGGAAGTCTGTCAAAGGTCTTAAGGGAATTGAAGGATCAACAAAAGTCCAATCTTTAAGAACCAAACGATAATTCATTTGCAGCTTCACTTAAATGTCTTGGTCATCTTAGTCGTTACTATCAACTGTTTTTCCTCCCTCTCATTCTACCTCCCATATTCTCCCTTCCTGGATCCCCCCAAGCCAACTTTGACTGAATTCTTGAATGTGCTGTAAGATTTTTTTATTTATTGAAAGATGTAACATTTTATTTGTGACTTGATTCCAATTAGAACTTAGAAGTAATTGTTGTCTGTGTCTGTTGTTTAATAGACTCAATAAATTTTGGGTTATCCAACCCCACTCCCTCTAGTTCATTGGTACATCTTCTCATCCATATTGCCCGCATAATGACCCTTCCTCCTACCAAAAAAAGGTTTCGGGTGAAATCATCTTGTTGGTCAGGGTTTCAAGATTCAAGTAGGAGTGTCTTCCATTCCCATGGTCATGGTTGCGCTGTTTTTAGAAGATTCCAAATTTTATCCCACCATCGTCATAATCAAACAGGACCCGGACATTGAAGAAAAGTGTGCTCAATAGTTTCAGGGATGAGTTTGGATGGGCCCGGAATATCGTTTTACACAACTTACGCCATGACAAAGCTAGACCTCTCTGTTCTAGTATGGTTTTGTCCATAATCCAATCATTCGTTGGTAGGCAGCGACAGACAATTTGTCATTGTAAAGAAAGAGAAGGTTAACAACAGTCGTATTTTTCATCACCACTTTAGGACATCCTTCACCTCTTCAGGATGCAGCCTGCCTAAACAGGTGGGTTTTAGGGTCTTCGGACCTTTCACCACTTCAGGACCATTCAAGTCTGAAAATCCTGAATGGTCCTGAAGTGATGAAAGCTCTGAAGACCCTGAAAACCACTTGTTTAGGCAGGTTGCATCCTCGAGCGATGAAGGGTGGTTTTCATGGTCTTCAGACCTTTCACCACTTCAGGACCATTCAAGATTTTCAGACTGCCCAAAACTCTCTATTGACCACTTTAGGACACCCTTCACCAATTCATGATGCAGCCTGCCTAAACAGGTGGTTTTCAAAGTCTTCGGACTTTTTACTAGTACCACTTCAGGACCAATCAGGATTTTCAGACTGCCCAAAACTCTCACTTCATAATTTTCATCCCTGAATTTTCAGCTACCCGATAACCGCTTGTGTGTAAAGATGTCACTTTAGTTGGTTTGATTCTAATGAACTGGAACCATTTGACTGAGCGCAAAACATCCCTATTCACATTTAAATGTTTCATCCACCTAGTCTCAATCATATCCTTAATATTGACCTTTGGTCGAAGCGTCCAATAGGATGATTTAACCTTCATTGTGTGAAGGGATATAAAATAGGATCTCATTCTCCCTCATGTAGAAAACCAAATTCAAGTTGTTGGGTCTATGGGCAATTTATCTATGGGTGTGCCTGGTTTGAATGTAAGTCATTAGTCTTTCATTTTTAACACCCTAATACGAAATATTTGATCCACCCTAATCCACTTAATGCTCTCTTGGTCTCTCTGTCGTGCAAAACCTTCTGGATCCAGGTCAAAAATAGATAGAAGAATCATTTATGTACTGAATATTTCTATTATGTTTCCCACAACATGTGTCTGATCTTTGACGGTCACCCAGTCATTTGAAATAATCTTTTGTCATTTTTTTTTAATCCGGACCCAATCTTGTGGAATTATATCTATCACTTGTTCTAAGGCTGCATTCGGTTGGTGACAGTAACGCAAAAGGGCGCACAATATAGTTGGGGAGATTCAATCTCAGGTGACCAGATCCCAAATATCTTTAATCCTTATAACTCTATGCTTAATTCATCCTTTCCATGGAGAATTCATACAATGTAACATGCATCCTTGAGAGTTTCTTAAAAAAGTGTTATCGAAAAGGGGTTGTTGACTCTTAAAACAAAACTCTCTAAGACTGTCCAACATTGTCTTATTCCCTGTCGAGCTCTCCCAGGATTCACACCCTGACCTGGCTAGGTTACAAAGCAACACGACTCGCGTCAGCTCCGGTCAGCATCGTCCTAACATCTACCCTTGGTTGTCCCTTGGAATGCCCACCCCAAAGCATCCCAGATCTCTCTACCAGGCCTCACGCTCCTGTAATCAGCAGGTTTACAGGGCAACACCCCAACACTAGCCAGCGCCATTCTGACATCGAACAACCACAAATCCATGAACATATCAGTATCAAACAGCCTAAAGCGAGCGAGTTGCTAGAAGTCCCCAGAATCATAAAACATTCTTTCTTTTTTTTTAACAAAAATCAATGCTATTTGAGGTAAATTTGGGAGACTATCCACCAACGAAAATCTCAACAATTTTCTTCAAACACTCTAAAGCGCCACAGGGTCATAAAACCCTCGAAGTCTTCAGACACTGTCTTATTTCCTACCAAGCTCTACCAAGCCTCTCACCCCCGCTATAGGTTACGGGACAAGGAAACTCACCCCGGCTCCAGCCAACATCGTCTTCGATAGGAACCCTTGATTGTCCTGTAAAATGCCCCCCCTAGGCATTCTTTGATCTGTCTATCAGGCCTCAAGCTCCTGTTGTCAACAAGTTACAGGGTCAACACCCCAACACCGGCCAGCGTCGTTCCGGCATCGAACAATCGCAGGTCCGTGAATGAAACAATATCAAAAATCGCCTCAAGGAAATTTCAAGGAGTCCCAAGAGCCTAAAAACGTTTTACCACAACCACCGAGAACAATCACAACCTCTAGAGGATAGCCATATCCGAACACATCGCCCTTTTTTTTTTTTTTTTTTTAACGAGATAGGACACGAGTGACATGCAACAAATTGAAAGCAAAAAATCCGAACCGAAACCACCGACTAGCAAACTTCTCACACAACAATTAAAAAAAAAACGAAGTCCCCGTGATCAGTCCTCGAAGGAGACTTAAACAACCATACTCAAGCTTGCCAAGGCAATCATACTCTATTTCTGAGTTTGTCCAGCCTCACACCCGCACGGCTAGGTTACAGGGCAACACAACTCACCCCAGCTCCGACCGATATCCTCCAAGCAGCAACCCTTGATTATTTCGTGAGATGCCCGCCCCTAAGCATCCCCAGATCTCTCTGCCAGGCCTCCTGCTTCTGCTTCGCAGGTTACACGACAACAATCCAGCACCGACCAGCGTCGTTCTGGCATTAAAAAAATGCAGATCCACAATTATGACAGCAACAGACACATCCAAAAAGATTTGCTAACATACTCCATTGAGAGAAGCCTTATCAGAAAACACTAATTGGAACATGGAAAATCACGTCAAAGTTTGACAGGAATCATTGACAAATTAGAAAATCGATCTACGGCGAAATTTAGAAAACCTTAATAAACTATTCTTCGCAGTTACGAATGAGATGTCCAAATAACGACCATTTTGTCAAAATGCACATTTTTTATTTTTTTAACGAAATTAAAACCGAGTTTTTTGACCAAAAACTCATCAAAATTTATTGTTCCTGCGGGTCCAGCGTTTTACAAACGTTGGACCCCCTGGCTGTACATGGACCTAGCTTGAGACCACACCTCCAAGCAGGATTGCTTGGAGGTACCTGGTCTCAAGCTAGGTCCATGTACATCCAGGGGGTCTAACATTTTACAAACGTCGGACCCTCATAAATAACAAATTTTGACGAGTTTTCGGCAAAAAAAACTCGGTTTCAACTTCGTTCAAAAAATAAAAGATGACCATTTTGACGAAATGGCAGTTAAATAGGACTTTCGTTAGTTTTTTTGAAAATCAACATCAAAAAATTTTACGAATTAGAATACCCGATTAGAATTGGTTTTTGAGAATTTGAGATAGAAAGTAGCTCATAAAATTTACCAG